GGGGGGCTGCTGCTGTGGCACTTGAGCCGTGGCTGGGCGCTCTGGTCCCGTGGTGAGAGAAGGGCACTTTGGTGGCGGCAGGTGGAGTGGGTGGGCGAGTGGTGGTGGTGGTGGTGGCGGCGTGACGCGCAGCCCGACGTGTCCCCGTGGGGTGGCTGCACGGGTGACGGTGGCCAGGGTTTGGGCTCTCGCCGTCTAAGCGCCGCTCCTGGGTGGCAGGGACTTCAGGGTTGCGCTCCTCGTGCACGATGTTCCGACGTTTCGCTACACGTGCCGCTTGGCCCAAGCTTCGTCAAGAAGCCAAAGAGAATTTGGTAAATTCCGCGGGGCTGGGAGCTCCTTCGGGCGCTCGAATAGAATTCGGCGAAAAGAATGCAGAATTCAGGAGCTGTAAAGATTTTCGAATCGAGTGAAGAAGCTGCCGGCACACGGGGTGATATCGTGCCGGAAAAACCCCACACAGGCGGCACGACCCGACAACACACAGGAGGGGAAGGCGCTGGTGCTGCTGTTCACGGGAAGCCACTTACGGCTTGCCTCCTCCTACTCATGCCGGCGTTGCTGTTCTCTGGAGTTATCTTGGCCTACAGGCTGCACGTTTACTCAGAGGACGGGCTAGCCGGGCTTGGCACGGACTGTGTCGCGTGTTTTTTCAGGGCGCCGCCCTGAGCTCACTTTTACTATGCGAGCGCGGCCAGAGATCAATTTGCGTCCGGGGTTACAATTGTCACCGAATATTTTTCTTGGCACAGATCGCAGCCCGGAAGGTGGCACGTGAGGGCCCTCCTGGTGGGGCGAGCCGTGTGCGGGGAATACTTTCAGGAGCTCAGGCCCAGGCAGCTCCGACTGAAATTCATTTGTTGGGGGGGTATCGTACAGCAGTCTTATATGCCCTATAAAGATGTCTTATATGCTCTATAAAGCAAACGAACAAAATATAAAGACCTCCAATCATAGGTGACGGCTTGATGGCCAGTGCTGTCAGTGCGAGGGCACCTGTTAAGGCGTCGTCGTGCCACCGCCGCCCTCCGGCGTCTTTACTCTACAGTCAGGGGTCACACATTGACTACGTACCCATGGAGGGGGGAGGGGGGTTAACCCAAATGCGTTCGCTTGCGTATGGGGGGTCTACTGACAATGTGCGTATAGGAAACGGGGGAGGGGCGTGAAGCCTCGCTATTAATTTGTCTACATTGGCCTTCAAATGAGCCACAGTTCAGTGTCTCCAGCTGTCCGACAACTACCGCCGGGAGAAGTGGGACTGTGGGAGAGGTGTCATTCGTGTGCCACCGTGCCCCTGACTGCAGCTATCACGCAGCTCAGCAACATCAGTGGCCAAGGCACGCGACTTAATTATTTAATGCAGCTGGCGGTGGACTATGTTTGCTTAAACACGTTAATATTATTAATCCTGGATCGTTTCTGCGTGGATTAAATATCGGCCGTTCTATAGGATTGGGGGGGGGGGTGTATCAGGCGAACCTACCCAGGTGGGGGGGGGGGGTGTAAAAAGTCCGCATGCCCACAGGGAGGGGGGGGGGGTCCAAGTTGCGACAGATCTTTGCGTCCCTACTCAATGGATGGCCCTAAAGGCGTCTCGCCCTGAGCTCGAGTTTATGGAGTTTCCTCTTCACCTTCAGACACCAATGGCCATTCGCGTTGCGCAATGTCCTGTGTGTCTATTTGCATGAAGCGCTTTGTCCGCGAGAAGTGTGTTTAGTTTACATTCGTTTCCCGCGTGATACGAACGAAGCTTCGCTCCAATGTAACCGACGACTGGAATCTAACCTCCGTGTTCATGTTCGCCAGGAAGCGAGTTGAACACTCCCCACACTCAGACATTAAACACGTGTGTGTGTGTGTGTATCAATCTTGTGTGTGTGTGCGTGCACACACGCCCTCAAGTTGACACGACAACAATGCGCTGACACTTTGTGCACAACGCCTATGAGGTTGAGAAATGCCAACTCTGTAGGCAAATTCACCCTTGCGGGCCCACTGTCCTTCGTCTAAGCAGGCGGGCACCTTGTGTAGTAGTGACTCTCTACATCACGCAGAGGGCATTAAGACAATGACACACGGGGAGTCCGACGTGGACAATGGCTGTGGATGATGCGATGTGTTGTCAGTGATCAAACTTGGGATTAGGAGGCAACACCGTGGACTACTCTGTCTCTCTCTCATAGGCGTGAGATGCCACTTCCTAAGGAATGCCCACACTTTGTAATCCCCGTCAAATCTCGAGTTCCTTCAATGGTTTTTCGTCCGCATGGCTTTTGATCAACGTCGAGGAGGAGACCACCTTGTGGTTTCTCGAGCCAACGACTGCACGGCAATGCACGGCAACACCATCGTAGCCGTGCTGACTTGCAGGTTTCTGTGATCATACGGTTACAGTAACACAACCTGCGTCATTTAACATAAAAAACTCGAGTATTTAATTCGCGATTTTCTCCCGTGACACTTGATAGAATGCACGCAACACGGAAAAGGGTAAAACTCACGTCCGCGTGCACACAACGTGCACACAACGTGTATACAACGTCCACACAACGTGCACACAACGTGTATACAACGTGGTCACAACGTGGTCACAACGTGTACACATCGTGCACACAACGTGGTCACAACGTGCACAACGCACTGCTGCGCTGCAGACTTCGCCCCACCTGCACTCACCCACACTGCCCAGTGTGGGTGAGTGCAGGTGGAGGGGGGTAACGTATCGAACTTGACACAATCTCGCGGCATCGTCATCATCGTGGTTCCCTGGGGTCTCATTGTGACGTCGCACACAAGTCGCCTGAGTGGTAGCGACCCGCTGCCTCGCTGCCCCCCCCCCCCGCTGCCCCCCGCTGCCCCCAGCCCCCCGCTGCCCACAGCCCCTCCTGCGCTCGGCGTGGCACGCAGCGACTCCACTCACACTACAGCCGCAGCGCGCTTCTGCGCACGGTGTGATCTATATATAAACACATATATATGTGTGTGTTTATATATATTTTTTGACGAACGTGGAAACGCGCGCATCGCCCCCCTCTCCCCGACCCCCCGTGGGCAGGAAGACGGCCGCAGGTTGAATTCTGCTTTCGTTCGAATGTTGACTGCGGGTCGCGAGAGCTGGGCAGCCGAGGGTGGTCGGTGCTGGTGGTGCAGTGTTCGACTTGGTTGGCAGGCAGGCAGTACGAGGCTATTGAGGCTACACGAGATGCACACAAGCGCGGGGTTGGGGACATGCCGACAACAAAGGGACAGCTACCGGTGCATTCGTGAATCAATGAGTTGACAGATGCAACATTTACTTTGGGTGCTGACAGTCCGCTTCTTATGGTGCAGCGTGCAGCCTCCCACTACGACACAATCTCCCTGGTGATGAATCTCCTCTCTACCTAATCCCCCCCCCCCCCTCTTTTGGGCAGTGACGTTTCGGGAAACGATCCTTCTTCAGGGCAGTGGTATTAACGAATGTGTTCTATGCGTCTGTACCCGTGCCCCCCTCTCCAATATGAAGCCACTGGGGCTATTTACTTTTAAATCTCGATTGAAAACTCATTTATTTAGAACTGCTGTTTGTGTTTAGTTTGTTGTCCTTCTCCCACATCTCCGATGAGCGCGGTTGGCTACGCACGGTGCGAAAGAAGTACAACACACACACACGCGCGCACACACGCACACACACGCGCGCACACACACGCGCGTTGTACGACATTGGTGCCGTCCGCAGCTCTATCCCTGCGGCGGGGCTCGTAGGAGCGGTGGCGATGCCGACCCAGGCGCAATGAGCGGGCGCTAAGTGGGACGCGACACGTGTCACACAGGGGCTCGGGTCACGCTCGCCGTGCACACGGCAGCATCCTGGCCCCCCATGCACGAGCAGTTCAGCGTCGCGAGGTGCACAGTGCGTGTGTGTGTGCAGCGCACAGCGCGTGTGTGTGTGTGCAGTGCACAGCGCGTGTGTGTGTGCAGTGCACAGCGCGTGTGTGTGTGCAGCACACATGTGTGGGTCCGACTCAGCGGAAGCGTCTGGGATTCGTTTGAACGACGCCCATTGCCGTCAGCCCAGAACCTCGCGCAGGTTCGGGAGACATCGCACCGCATCCTGACTTTGACGCTCCTCCTCGCAGACACGAGCGGACGCATTCACGGCATCAGAATACCAACAGGCCGCTGCGTACACCTCGCTCGTCATTGGCAAGTTAAAGAGGCGAGCCACAGCGCTGCGATGGTGGCCATGCAACACAAACTATGGACCGTCGAGCACACCGCGGAGTTTTGCGCTCCTTCAATGGAGGAGGAGAAACGGCAAAATGATACGAACTCTCTCTCGCCGTGACGAGCAGACCTCGACATTGGCATTCAGCTCCCGAAGCACATCGCTGCCATACGCAACAAGAGAATTGATGCGTCCGTCCACTGTGGCAAGCATCCCCACTGGGAAGACAAAGGCGGACGGGCGTGGTGCTGTACACACACCCTGGTGTGCCGTACTGCCGTTCCAGCCTTCTTTAGGTGTTCGCTAACAGCACTTGCCCCAATAGTCCGTTGAGGTTATACGGGTGATCTGTCTGCACAGGTGTACCCGCGTGTGAATAGAACCCCGTGTGGAGACCATTCCACACACACACAGAGAGGGGGACACATTCAGGCGACTTCAACTCGTGGGAGCGACCCGCGCGGTGACAATAGCTGCGGCACACCCGACACTCCCCCCCCTCTCTCCAACGCCCCCCCCCTCTCCAACGCCCCCCCCCTCTCTCTCCAACACCCGCACCTGCATAGCAGCCACACGCGGGCTGCCCCCCCCTTACCCCGTCCACAGCCGCCTCCTGCACACGCGGTTCACCCGAGCCACGCGCGGCTCACATGGCGCGCTCTTGAAGAGGAGCAGCCCGCCGGTTAGCCCGGCACGGCTGCTCGAACTGAGCGCTCTGTCAAGTGAGCAGCAGCACCAGCAGCAGCGTGACAGAGCGCTAACTCCGCAGCGTCCCGCCTCCATAACTTACCTTGCAGCATCGCTTGTTCACGCCTGTGGAGGCACGGCGCGTCGCGAGAGGCAGCAGCGAGAGTGGCGGCGCTGCCCTCCGAGCCCAGCTCAGCTCTCCGCTTCTCTCTGCGCGCCGCAGATCGGAAGTGGCCAACTTTGAGTTTCTCAGCCTCCTCACCTCGCCCTGGCGCCCTGCACCCCACCCCCTCCCAGCAGCGAGCAGTGGAGTGAGCCCGCCTTCTCCTCCTCCTCCTCGCACCACCACCACCACTGCCTCCACCCTCACACCCCCCACCAGGGCCCCCTCTGTCTCTCTGCACACACGCGGCCAGTGCCGCCACCACGTGGCCAGCCAGCGCCGGGTGCCCTGCAGGGTTCGCCCGCGTCCATCCCAGCGAGCGTGGCCCTGCCGGCGAGACCCTCGTGGTCGAGACAGGGCCACAGTTTTGCCTCATTGCCTTGAATCGACGCTGCTGCAATGCGGCACTACCAGGTGGAAGGCCGTGCTGCTCATCGCTTGTCGAAATGGATTGTCTTGCACTTTCTGTACGCAGCATGGACGGGTTGTGCTTTTTCTGTAGAATTTCATTGTTTACGTATGGGATGTTCAGATTTGCGTACAATTAATTTTAGGTGTATGTTGTAATTTTTATTGTTTGTTACGGTTGAACCCAAATCAAGAGCCGAATGGCTCACAGGGTAAATCCTAATAAATTAATCTGAAACTGTGTAGGAAAATACCTGTATTCATTTTTTCATGATGTGGCGAGATGGGTATGCGATGGAGGCATTTCTTACGAATTTTTGCCCGACCGGAGTTCGCCGTGAGTCATCAAGAATGCTGTGATGCTCACAGCAGGCCCTGTTGTGCTACCCGAACAATAGCACTGGGTATCCACAGGACAGTTGCACGACATTCCATGTCGCTTCCTCTGCGTGGAAGGCGCTGGTAACCTCCTTCCAGCGGCCTGTAATTAGCAGCAATTTGAGAAATGCAGCAAATTGTTGTAATCCGCTTTTACATGAACGGTTTAGTGAAATTGTTTGGTACTTAATTCGCTATCCGTCATCAAAGAGACGCATGTACCTCATCTGGAATGTGCATGTCGCTCTTCCTCGGCTGCACGGCCCGTCACTGTGCTCCATGCGTGACGAGGAGGCGGGCGACTTGACACTACGCACCGGGGTCACGTGACACGCGACACTCACATTACCCTCATCACTCACAACTCACCTCATCACTCACAACTCACCTCAACCATGTGTCATCAACTCGCCTGAGCCTCGCTAATCAACTCACCTCAACCATGTGTCATCAACTCACCTGAACCTCGCTAATCAACTCACCTCAACCATGTGTCATCAACTCACCTGAGCCTCGCTAATCAACTCACCTGAACCTCACCAATCAACTCACCTGAGCCTCACCAGTCAATAGGAAGAAGCCGTTGAGATGTAATGGCTCCCCCCCCCCCCACCACACGTCAACCCATTGTGTTCATTCTACGTTGATATCATTACTTACGTAGTGGCATTGAATGAGTAACTGTAGCGCGTGGCGCTGGGAGATTGGTAGACAATGGGATTGGGGGGTCGCAGCCCGTTCTACCAGATGGACACGTGGGCGAGGCACGGAGCCTTCTGGAGGATCCAGAGGGGTGCGGGGCCGAGGGCGGAGCCTGGCCTCGCGCTGGGGAGGACCAAATGCGCGCTCCGACTCACAGGTGCACGAAGAGCAATCACGGTGGAGCCAGCTGTTCGTTATTTCTGAGATTTTTATTTGTGGGCATTTTTTTGTTCAATTGTGGGACAAAGGGGCGCCGTGAGACACGCACACATAGTGCACAAATCAAACAGCAGACAGGAAGTGACTTCAAGCAGCCGGAGAGGACAGATCACACCGAGGGGACGCAACGGGGTGGACACCCGCGTTGTTTGCTGTCTCCAGCGTGTGCGGGTGCTTGTGTGTGAAATCGAAGCGTGGAGGGTTTGTACAGCAGCGCGTGAAGCATCACGCAGCCCTCTGTGTGCTTGCTGCTCAAGATGCCGAAGAGGATACAACATGTATCATTGTTTTTTCTATTTGCAACAGGTTCAAATCGATTTTCTCTTTTTTGGTCATCTTGGACTTAAATTAACTTAACATCAGGCTCATTCTTTCAAGGATTTCAATCGAGCGCTAAATGTGTCGCTGGGGATTGTGGGTGCGGTAGTGTTAATGACATTGACGATACGGCAGTCATTTTAATGGGGGCTAGGGAGCGATGTTTGTAACTGTAGTGTGGCCGGCATCAATCACTCGGGGAAGCAGAAACGCGCAGTGTTCGTTACATTGATGATGGCAGCGGTGGCCGACCCGTGCATCGTGATCCACGGGTGGATGACCGCAAGAGCTTCTGTTGTGGATCTCAGGATAAACAAATCAGAAGAAAAAAACCGCTCACATAAGCAGACAACATTTATCGTTACGGATGATGGCAAATAAAAATCCCCGACTAAGAATTCACACGACACATGTAATAACTTCTACCAAAATATGGTGTTAATACAGTTTGTTTATTTTATTTAAGCTTCGAACGTATTGACCACAACATGTTTCAATCCAAAGTAAAAAATAATACACACGTGTTCCCTTCAGTGCACTTGTCTTCTTGTTGTTCATTAAAATGCACCAACAATAGTTGTTATTTTACGCATGCAAATTCGCCTAATGCTGCTATTCAACTGAGCGCGTGTTGAACCACGCACGTCTCACACAGCGTGCGCATCAGTCCACTCGAGGGCACCCGTGAGCTGGCATATTCAGTCCAAGTCGAGTTATCCTTTCATACAAATACAACCGTGCTGGTAGCTTACTGAAACGCGATAACAATTAATAAAACAATGGCTCTCGACATCTGCTTTCAGGCTCACTTTCAGGCCAATTCCCAGGGGCCTGGATTTAACGGGCGTGCATGGCATGGCCCAGGCTGGTTTGAGTGTTCACAAGACGAGGGGACGTTGGCAAGCTTGGGACGGATGGTGAGTCAGTCCCAGCGAGAGCCGGCGGCTTGTTTGACACGCTCACGACTGTAAATGTTAAGTGGCGCACCCATTTAGACCAAGACGTACACCCAGAGCCGTGTCAATTACAGTTCTGGTCTTCTCCCTCTTTGACTACTTACCGGTGCGAACCAGGGACTCATTCCTCCCTCAATATATTCCGCATTGCTGCAGGCTGGCTTGCAGTAGGGATTGTCAGCGTAAGGCACTACCACTCGAGTATCATGGCTCCTTAGCCATAATAGTCGATGGAAGTTGCCTTACTGATGAAACTGCAATTATAAAGTGGGTTAACTCTTCAACAGCAGAGGGCGGAGGAGCGACGGGCGTATACAACGCAGCAAGTTGGCACAGTTGGTGCATCCACCAGTGGTCTCAGTCTACCCACATCACCCGTGTCTGTGCTGTGACCTCCTGCCAGCGAGCCGACGACGCTTCACGTGGCCTTTTAAGGTGCACCTAGCCTGGCACAAGCGCCGCGGGAACATCACAGTTGCTGCGGCGGATGGTGAAAGCGGCGGGCGTGGAGTTCTAACGTGGGAGCGGTCACGTTGAAAGTGGGCGTGGTCACAGCCGGAGTGGGCGTGGCTATGGCCGGAGTGGGTGTGGCTATCGCAGCAGTGGGCGTGGCTATTGCAGCAGTGGGCGTGGCTATGGCCGGAGTGGGCGTGGCTATTGCAGCAGTGGGCGTGGCTATTGCCGGAGCGGGCGTGGCCGTGCATAAATTAACTCGCGTCGTGACACGCATGGGGTTTTCAGGGTGGGTGGGGGAGCCCACGTGGTTTCCGCTGGGCTTATAGAGAGGCGGCGGAGGGAGTGTGTGTGGCAGTGTGGGGCTGTGTGTGTGTGTGTGTCCACTCTGTGTGTCGTGTGCGAGTGCGTGTGGGCCGCTCGCCTTGCCCGCCCGCTCGCTCGCCCGGCGCGCCCGGCGCGACCGGCCTCTGTTGGCAGCGATCGACGCGGGGCGCTTCCCTGCGTTGGGATCCTTAAAAGCGCGGCGCCCTCCCCGGGAGAGGAAGAGCAACCGGCGGGCCGCCGGCATGGCTGCGTGGGGGACGGGGCTGGCCCTGTTCGTGCTGCTGGCGGGGATGCCCGGCCGCCTGCTCTGCGTGCGAATGTTCGCCTCTGTGAGTGGCGGCGCGACCTCCACCCCCACCCACTCGCACGGCGGCCGATGGCAGCGGCCTGCCGCTCGCTTTGCTACGGCCGTCACCACCACCACCACCATCGCCTCCAAACGCCATCGCTTTCAGTAACCCGCCGTCAAAGCTCCACATCGCTACCACAGCCACCGCCTCCTCCATTCCACCGCCGCTCGCCACCATTGCCACGAGCACACCGCCGTTGTCGGCTGCAGCGGTAACACCACTGCGCACACAATGGCTGTATCACAGCGAGCCACGTGTTCTATCCACTGCTCGATGAAGGCTTCCTCCACTCTGTCGCCACCCCTCCTAGTCCTGCTGCGATGCCACAGACCGTCTAAATGTCCACGAGCTCGTCTCGCCATCGCTCCATCTCCGCGGTAGAGGTCCACACTTGTGCGTGGGCCTTCTCCCTCCTTTGGCTGTCATTCTCTCCCCAGTCTCTTCCGCCGGCCACCATCGCGGCCACCAGCAGCACCCGCCCGGCTCGCGATGGGCCCTGCCAGAGAGGGGGGGGGCCTTTGTGTTGAAGCGAGCAGCACGGTGGTCGTCTCTGGTTCGCGTGCCTCTTGATTATCCATCGCTGATGCTGCTTCCTCCTCCATGCTGCTTCGCGCACCCTCGTGTTTTGTCCCCCCCCCCCCCCGTGACATTCGTGAAACGTGTCCACGTCAAGTGGCCGCGAGTGCACGCCGATTGTAAACATGCCTCATTGTTATGGTGCCGCTCGGTGTCAAGCGTGGCCAGCTCCATCGGCGCACTCTTCTTTCTAATATGTTTTATACTATCAAGAGCCGCCTTCAATATTAATCCTCCGTGTGATATTCCGTTGTGCTTATCCGTTGTAAACCCTCCAAAGTAATTATCTTTTTGTTTAGAGAACGCGAACAAGACGTTAGTTTCTCGAATACTGTACACTTTTTATATTTAGCCCCCACTTTAATGGATTTACCCGTTTCCTGCAGTACATTTCCCTTGGCTACCATTGGCCATCTCGTCACTCACTGCTGTCTATTTTCCATGTGCTTTTTACACTTTTAATTCTGCGGTGATATGGTCTAATTGTCGGAAAATTACTTAGCCGCGTTGAGTCTCCTTGCTTGAATCTAGATATTATGTTGTGTTACTTTATGCCGGCGTCAATGTAGCCGTTCCATCGTTATCGTTTTAATAACTGGAATGCCATACATTTTTAACGCCCTGCGTAGATTGATTCCACTTCTTCCTATGGCTGTAATTTTCCATTTGAAGTGGTTGATGAGCCTGATGATTGCGTCTTGAGCTGCTGAGTGGTGGTGGTGGTGCATCGCTGGGACGATGCCCTCCTCCCTCCTTGTGAATCGGGCGTTGAGTGCTCCTAAGATGCCCCACGCTGTGTTCTGGGTGACCAAAGTCGCACAACGGAGAGCTTCTTATGTTACAGTTGTGCATCATCAAGTATCCCGCCATCTATACTCTTGGGGTTTTTCGGTGAAGTCACGTAGGTATAAAATAAAATGTGATTTATTTTATTTTATACCTACGTGAATTTACCGAAAAAACCAAAGAGAGTGGATTCCTGCAGTCACGAAAGTTTCAAATCAAGATTAATCCCCCCATCTACTCCACTGCCATGGTTTGTGTGGATGTGGTTTAGGGTTGTGGCCCATTAACTTCGGAAGATCGAATCCAGGGGATTTCTGCGTCGCATCTTTCGTGTGAACTCCATTCGGCTTTCCGAGCATCCTGGGGCATGAAGGTGCCAGTGTTGGAGGCGAGTCGCGTGAGTCCAAGAGGGCTTGCGTGTAACCTCATCCCACGGTCGTGGCGAGAGACGCGATGGAGGACCTGGTGGATGGGGAGAAGTACGCGAGGTGCTTGGATGGCTGAATCGGGTTGTGACCGGTTGATTCGATAGACGTGTTACCAGTACGAGCTACCACCAAGGGGGTGGAGTGCCAGCACCATGCCCGACCGCCTTTGTCTCCCTAGTGGCGATGTTTACACAGCACTAGGTACTCGTTTAAGGTTGAATCGATCTATGGGAGGCTCGGGACCGGTTCAGATTATCGTCACTGGTTAGCGGGAATGGAACCCGGGTTCATAGCGCAGCGCACGGTTACACTCCCACTCCCCACAACCTCCACTAACTGAACCATTACAATAGTACTACCACCATATAATTAATTCTAATGGGGAAATGGTAACCATTATTTCAACGTCACTGCGACCAACATTGTCACCACCAACAACATAATTGCCACTGACATCACCAATACTATCGCTACAACTGTCACCCCAACATCATTGCCACGTGCTAGAAAACAGGTCCATAACAGTACCTCCAGAACTATACCCACGATAGTAATAACCGGTATCATCATCATCATCATTACAGTACCTGTAGTGGCATCTCAAGCAGACTAAGTAACTTACATAGTCTTATGTGCTCACGAAACAAACTGCTCATCACAGAAGACACAAGTCGCGTGACGTTGAGTCGAGTCATTGCGAAATCCGACTTGCACAACGATGCCACCCCCCCCTTACCGAGAGCATGGAGAGCCTCGCGTTGTTGTGGATTTGTGTGCACGCGCGTGTTGGGATGCCACGCACGCTTTGTTGTCGGGGGCCAGGGCACAGCCGAAGGTGACCCTGGTGGCTCCCAAGAGAACCCAGACGGTGGAACTTGAATGTGAGGCCAGGGCACAGACAAAGGTGACCCTGGTGGATAAACAATAGAACCCAGACCGTGGAACTTGATTGCGTAACAATGCAGTGCTGGGAACCGGGTGATGCTGGCTACTGCAGGGTCAATGCGACCTCTGACTTCTCAAGGAGTGGTCTGAGCGCTCTCCCATGCGGGGGAGGGGGGACACTGGGTCCTAGAGTTGGGGCGGGGGACGGGGAATACACTAACACATTGTCTCTTGTGGGCTGTTGGGTGCTGATGAAGTAGAGCGATAATTTTCCACTACGTGCTTCATACAGATTGATTAACTTTATAACCAGATCGGAGCCCATTATGTCCAGAAGTATTTTTGTCATGCATTTCAGGAAGACCTGATGGAGGCATAACCACTGGTGGAGCCAGGGGGGGTGGCACGTGCCCCCCCAATGATCTGATCGAAATCCCTAATTTCGATCTCATCATTGGGGTTTATTAGTAATAAATCGGCAATTTGCGACCCTCACTGCCACTGTAGCATATTATTACGTGCCAGGGACTTTGAGATGATAGGACAATAGTCTGAGTCCATAATTGTCAATAAGTAACGGCAAAGCGGTTATAAGCAACTCGCAGAATTGTGCGCAGTTGCGTATACAGTGCACGACTTCCCTGAAGATAAACACCTTCAGCGAGCGCGATGCCGATCACAACGCGGTTCGAATTCGACCCTCGATCGATAACTGCGCCATCGCCGCACGCGCGTCGAATAAAAAGCAAGGGACAAGTCCTTACTTGCTATAACAACTCTTATCATTTTTCATTGCTGGAGGGGTTGCCCCCTCTACCTGAAAATCCTGGCTCTGCAATTGGGCATAACCCTCCCTTAATATCACAAGTATCCATGAAATTTCAGGTAAATGGCATATAGTATTCTAATCAAAACCTCAATTTTTTATTTTGGTAGTTTGCAAAGTGGAAGTGTTTTTCATGAATAGCACATTTGGCATTTGTTTGGTGATTTATGCATTGTTACGGGTTTATTATTAGAGCTGACTGAATCATTGGTTGGCATTTTGCCATGTGTCGCCTATTTCTCGTTCACTATGCCCTACGTTATTTTGTTTTTTCAATAGGGAAGACAATTTCTGTGTTTGCGAGTAGGATCGGTTTTTGTAAAGACAATTAAACTTCTATCCATACAAAGTTTGTTAATTTTTAATTTTTAATAAAATTGAGCTCCATATGAGAGCATACGACCTGCAATACCGGTGCTGTGTCTGTATGACGGTGCAATACTCATAATGCGCACGGCTCGGATATTTCTAGGTGCTTCCATTTCGAAAAAAATACATGAACTCTCTTGGTTAAATTCCTTGATTGATATTTTATTGATTTGTTCTAATGATTATTTGGGTTGCGCAAGGCACATCTCAACCGGCAAGACGACGATTATGGTAATTGTTATTGAGCATTGACCAAAAGGCTAAACACATCAAATGCTCGGCATAATCACAGCATTGGGCCACATTTAACATTGTGACCGTGGGCTCTGCTTGAGAGAGTTTCAGAAGTAAGAATCATATTCCAGGTTACAAAGCGATATCACTTAACTCTGCAGCATAGTCGTGCGTACATGCAACGTGGCCAGCCCCCACGCTTGTGGGCGTATCTTTCCTGTCTGGCACGTAGTGTGACTGTCACCCTGGCGACGTCTCGTCGTCACTTGTGCAACAATATCGCTGCGCTCATCGCTGCATGTGCATGCATCGTGGAAAGTCGCCCTTGCGATAGCCCCACCGTGCTAGAATAAAAATAGACTTGGGTTTGTGGTCGTGGTGATGGCACCACTCCTCCTCATACCACGTGGCATCACCACGACGTATGGCACCCACTTGAGATGAAGATTTATAGACTGACTGCAGCATAGTGTCGGGTTAATTTCATTTTTAAGTCTGCGAGCACATAATGTTGAAAGAGTAATGTTATGTAATAGTGTACAACGTGGGACCTCCTTTGCTAGTACCAAAATGAGAGGTTTTTACCCTTTTATCTGTTATCTTCGGTGTTAAAACTTGCTTGTAAAATGGCAGTGCTACCATCCGTATCATTCCCACTCATGTGCCTGCCTCCATAGGACACCATGATTGCGCTTGGCCCACAGAAATATTTGTGGGCCAGGAAATACAAACTCTGGCACTGCCTTGTGCCTCGAATTTTGATGTACTCGGTGTTCACTTGCCACTACATCTCAAGAAACCACAAGGAGCGTAAGCAGACGATGGGGAGATGTAATAATCCGTGTTGGGGTAGCGAGTTGGTCTTCTTATTTGAT